GTTGTTTTCCCACCCCTCACTCAAATTTCCTAGCAAGAAAAGATCTGAAGGATGGTACAATATTCACATCAAAAACCATTCAGTTATCTGGGAACTTTTTTTTAATACCATTCCCCTTCTAGATATACACATTTATGACTCTCCTTGTCTTGATTTCTTTTCTTTATTATCTGGCAAGATAGTGTTATGGTTTCCTGCTATCTTAATTCTGTTTTCCTTCTCTTAGACTGATTGCCATCTAAGGCTATAGAGTACCTTCTACCTTGTTGTTTAAGCCATATCTGGGACAAGATAGAGATGGATTCATACCTTTCCATGATATTGAACATAATTTGACCACTGCTGACTCCATTTTTTCATATTACTTTCTGCATTACAATAATTGCATTGTTCTCTCTGCATTTCAATACTTGCATCACTCTTTGTGTAACCATGACTGCAACTGCACTGCAATTACTGCATTGCAATACATACAGTGCAGTGTGTTAAAATATCTGCATTGTGTTTTTTGCATAACAATACCTGCATTGCACTTTCTGCACAAAACAAATACTGGCATTGCACTTTCTGCATAATATCCAGACTGCACTTTCTATATTGCAATACCCATTTTGAAACTTCTGCATTGCAACACCTGCATTGTACTTTCCTGTGAAAGTCAGTTGAGAGAATTTTCTTGCCAAATGAAATTTTCAAGCTAAAGATAAATTTTGGCATGGTCTTAGCTTTTTCATTATCACATCTGTTTCAAGAAACTTTACAACACAGTTATAAAGTGTTTGTGACTCATGCACATTACATCCAGACCTCAGAAGATGGATAGACACATTCAAATCAAAAGAGATGAGAAATGCTAAAGAACCTATATCTAATCAATATTTGAATGAAAGGCAAGTATATGAAATTGAATATATGCAGGTTTCAATGTTAATATTTGCATCATCTTCAGAATCAAACTGCAGGCAGTTTCTCTTGCTTAGTTTTTTAAAACAAGTGCAAAAGAAAAAAGTTAAAAAAGATGCATGTCTTTTAGTCTACCAATTGGTGTGTCTACTTACATTTATATCTTGGTCAGCCTATGAACTTTTCAGCTGACCCTCATGTTAGGAAGGTTTTCAAAGAAACAAATACGCATGGAAATAAATTGATATAATAATAATAATAAACTAAAAAGCTGTCAGAAAAACAAAAATAGAAATTTAATCCTCCAGAAAAACACACACACACACACACACACACAATCTGCAAAATCAGAGTTTATTTCTCCAAAATCTTTAAGACATTTATTCAACCCAGTTGTGAAATACTGAAATTATATTTAGACTAGACATAGCAAATCTGACTTTTGGAAATATTCCAAGACATCCAAGCATTTACTTGCAAGACCAATGTGTCAATTCTAATCTTTCTCAAATATGAAAATTTTCAGCATAATTAGAATTGCCATTGTTTACTCATTGTAAACAAAAATCATGAAAAAGTTTCCCAGTCTATTCTTCCCTCACCCCTCGGTTAAATATATATCTACAACACTCAATGCAAGTAAAGACTCAAAACTCTAAAAGCTATTATCATACAAAATAAACAGCTCATATTAAATATCATTCACCACAGTAGAAGGCATCTTGAAGGGCATATAATAGAATTAATGTTAAGACATATTTTTTCAGTATTATAATAATAAAAAAAAAATATATATAAAGCACATTCTTTTTGAGCAGCCTCATACCCAACAGCCATTATTCATGATGTCATGCTAGACCATTTCCAACTTCCAAAGTAATTATACCACACAGATACCACATCAGTTCTTGATAATAACTGTGAAAGTTGAAAGTACTTTAAGAAAAATAACAAAATATGAACTTTGAGCAGTTTATCTACAACTTTGAGTGCAATACTCAACACCATACCCTTATATGTGTAAATCTCTCTCTCATATATATATATATTATATATATATAAATTAATGAAAGCAGAGTCCTTAGAAATTCATTGGTAATAATTTATTTCATGGGATCAGACGCCCATCTCTTCAAACCAAGAAATTTTACAACAATAGATTTTACATTTATCCAGACAGAAGCAAAAAAAAAAAAAGAAAACGGAAAAAAAATAAAGAAAACGGAAAAAAAATAAAGAAAACGGAAAAAAAATAAAGAAAACGGAAAAAAAATAAAGAAAACGGAAAAAAAATAAAGAAAACGGAAAAAAAAAAGAAAACGGAAAAAAAAAAGGAAAACGGAAAAAAAATAAAGAAAACGAAAAAAAAAATAAAAAAACGGAAAAAAAAAAAAGAAAAAAAAAAAAAAAAAAGAAAAAAAAAAAAGAAAAAAAAAAAAAAAAAAAAAAAAAAATGGTTTACAGAAAAAAATAAAAGGGGAAGATTTTAAATTAAGGCTTTTTATGGGGGGAGGGAAAGATATATATGTATGAGAGAGAGACATGTGGGAGGGAAGAGAGAAAGAAAGGGAATGAAAAGTATTAAGCAGTCAGCCAATGGATTAATCTAGAATATTCTTCCTTTTACTCCTTTTTCTTTTTCCTAGGTTTCTTTTTTAATATATTCACTCTCTTTTACTTGTCATGTGTCCTTAAGGCATGGATAAAGGCATTGGTTAGATCCAGTCACTAGACCCAAAGAGTTGTGAGTCAAATATCAGGCTACAGTAGTGGTGAACCAAAATCTTGGAGAGTTGATTTAAAGGGAAATAACTAAGACATCCAGAAGAGGCACGGTATGTGGAACTAGAACAATCTACCCCGGTGGACGAAATAAAAAGTTTGGTTGGAAATTTCAATCACCTGAAGAAGGCTGGAGCATATAATGACTGAAACATTGTGAATATGGCAATGAAGTCCAAACAATGTAAATAATACTTTTGCATATTTGTGCAATATATCAAAAGTCATGAAATTTTAATAGATAACACTGAAATATGATGAAGAACTTAATGTAAAGAAAGACTGAATTCTGGTGGCTGTTGTAATAAAAGGGAAGCAGGCAGCATTAAATAAGTCATTTTTCTTGATAGGGGATTGTATATTGAAGTATGTATTAAAAAAATTGTTTAAATGAAGGTATAAATTCAGTTTGACCATTATAAATAACGTCACCTTGTGTCTGAAATTGATTCTAGCAAATGAGGGAAGACCAGAATTACCTTGGAGGTCCACCAGGGCCAGTGTAACATAGCCTAAATGTGCATATAGGACAAGAAAATTGCTATAGCAAGGCAAATCGTCTGGGCATTGACACTGGAATGACGAGGTGCATGCAACTTTAAGTCAGATCAAGGCTGACAGGTTGCTCAATATGCAAAGTCTCTGGCTTGACAAGAATGTATAAAGAAGGCAAGTGTTTGTTGAGATGTCAGAAATTTTTGTACTCGACACAGGTCATGTTGGTGTGTACTGAACCAGAATCTATTGCAAGTGTGTTTCCAGTGTCAGTGCTACAGTATCCTAAATTCCCTGCTGCATAATCCTTTCGTAAATTTGATTTACCAATCATATAAAATTACTAATTCTGAAATTTGAGAAATTTAATAAAAATTTTGGATAGACAGAATTTTTCGATATTATTCAATCAAACATGTTTGAAAGAATTCTTGCCATCTAAATACACCTTTTATATGAATGTTCTTGGTATGATGATAAACTACATCCAGCAACAAGGCCTCTAATTGGGAGCTTTTGAGGAGCATGGTATCACCTCTTGATTGCTGTCATTCCCAGGTCCACCCAGACAGAGGATGGTAACACCTGTTAGAGTCCCAGCTATGAGCAAAACACAAATATAAAAATACATTAGAAAAAATTACCAACAATATATTTTCATAATGAAAAGTAAAAAAATTACCAGCAATACATTACTGTAAAAGAAAATTACCAATGCTCACAAGAAAATAAAATTTTGGCATTAAATGACCTATAAGGAGTTGATATGCCATTAACCAAACCAAATCAATAGGCTTGGTTAGCAATTTTGTCTTGCTATATCAATTACTAGTGCACTTCACTATAACAATTCCTACTGAATAGTGAGTTTGATCCTCACAAGGTGCTCCATGCTTTCGGTCTTGTGTCTCATCTATGCTTTGCTTAGTAGATCCTAATATTTGATAGTCTGCCGATACTTTTTTGTAGTATTTGATTCAAAAACTCCAACTTCCTGAATGTTTGCCTTCTCCATTGATTGGGTTTTCCTCTTTTTATTGACATGGCACAATGCCAACAGGTCAACAATAGCTGCAATTCCTGTTGAAATCTGACCAACATCACATCAACTTTATTTTGGTCAAGCATTTAATTTCCAATCGTCCATGATTAAGTGACGTCTGCTGGCAGAATGTCAGGAAATGGCACTAAATACAATGGCCAATGGTTTTTAGAATGGTAAAGAAATTCTTTTGCTTTTATTTTAATGTATTTTAAATCATTTCGAATTGAAAAAGAAAAACAGGAAAACTGTCACCAACCTGATGACTTTATTTTTGATTTTTATATTTCTTTCACATTTTATTTTATTTTTTTTTTATTTCAAGTTTTTTGTTATTAAATTCCGTTAAAATCATCCCAAATGGCAGAATCAGATTTTTAAAACAATAGGAAAATGAATTAGACCTCTGCAATCCAAGCCCCAAATTTTGCTAATAATGTTAACAAGATTGCAATGAAGAAAGATGGTTAGACAGAGAATGGACAGGGAAAAGAAGTCATATATAGAGTAATGAAAGACAGCTAAAGGTTCAAGAAAGAATGAAAGATATACTGAATGAAGAAAGGAGAAGAGACCATATAAAAAAGAGAGGAAAAAGGCAACAGTGAAAGAATACAAAGAAAACAAAGAGAGAGAGATCAGGAAAACGCTAATGAATGAAAAGAGAGAGACAGCTTAAGTGTGAAGAAAAAAATGAAAGAGAAAGGCAAAGCAATGAAAGAAAGGAAAAAAGTGAAAAAAGAAAGACATATCAAATGAAGAAGGAAGAAGAAACAGTTTAAGTGTGAAGTAAGTGAAAGGCCAGACAATGAAAGAGTAGAAAGAAAAAGAGTGAAGGAAAGTAGAAAGAAAGAGAGTGAAGGAAAGTAGAAAGAAAGAGAGTGAAGGAAAGTAGAAAGAAAGAGAGTGAAGGAAAGTAGAAAGAAAGAGAGTGAAGGAAAGTAGAAAGAAAGAGAGTGAAGGAAAGTAGAAGGAAAGTAGAAAGAAAGAGAGTGAAGGAAAGTAAGAAGAAAGAGAGTGAAGGGTAGAAGAAAGAGAAAGAAAGGAGGAAGGAAAGTAAGAAGAAAGAGAGTGAAGGAAAGTAAGAAGAAAGAGAGTGAAGGAAAGTAAGAAGAAAGAGAGTGAAGGAAAGTAAGAAGAAAGAGAGTGAAGGAAAGTAAGAAGAAAGAGAGTGAAGGAAAGTAAGAAGAAAGAGAGTGAAGGAAAGTAAGAAGAAAGAGAGTGAAGGAAAGTAAGAAGAAAGAGAGTGAAGGAAAGTCTATTGAATGAAGAAATAAAGACAGAGAAAGAAGGTAAAACAATGAAAGAGTAGAAAAGGAAAGAAGGAAGAAAGAGAGTGAATAAAAAGTTGAATTGAATGAAGAAATAAAGACAGAGAAAGAAGGTAAAACAATGAAAGAGTAGAAAAAAAAGAGAGAAGGAATGAAAGCTATTGTCAATAAAGACATGTTGAATGAAGAAAGAAGAAATAGCTGAAGTGTGAAGAGAGAGAGAAAGAAGGTAAAACAGTGAAAGAGTAAAAATAAAGAAAGAGGAGTAAAGAAAGCTATTGAGGAAAAAAAGAGTAAGAAACAAAATCTAAGCAAGAAAGAAAGAGAGAGAGATAGAATGATAAAGAGAGAGAGATAGAATGATAAAGAGAGAGAGAATGATAAAGAGAGAGAGAATGATAAAGAGAGAGAGATAGAATGATAAAGAGAGATAGAATGATAAAGAGAGATAGAATGATAAAGAGAGAGAGAATGATAAAGAGAGAGAAAGATAAAGAGAGAGAGAAAGATAGAATGATAAAGAGAGAGAAAGATAGAATGATAAAGAGAGAGAAAGATAGAATGATAAAGAGAGAGAAAGATAGAATGATAAAGAGAGAGAAAGATAGAATGATAAAGAGAGAGAAAGATAGAATGATAAAGAGAGAGAAAGATAGAATGATAAAGAGAGAAAGATATATATAGAGAGAAGGTTAGAGTGATAGAAAAGTGAAAGAAAATATTTTTTTAAAAATAAAGAAAAATTCAGATAATGTCAGGCTAACAAGTCAATAAAAATGAAAATTTAAAATCACATACAAAATACATGTGAGCCAAAAAAAAATTAAAAAGAGAATCAATATTTAAAAACTTATGTAATTCAAAATTATTTTGGGTTGAACAGTTCCAATTTAATGAAGAATTTCATCAAAAAGAAAAAAAACAGCAAAAGCAACAGAAAAAGAAATGTAATAATTAAACATTCCTGAAAACTTTAATTCTTCAAGTAAAGCAAACCAAGTTTATAAAAATAATATGCAAAAATACCTGACTCATGTCATCAGTTCTCAACTCCGTATTTATGCGGATGACAACTATTTACTCCTGTCTTAATAGTAAGTCTGATTAGTTTAGAGGAAAACAATGCATGACATACCGAGCGAGCTTGAGTAAATGAATAGCAGAACAGGGTTTAGGAGAGATAACAAAGAAAATTTATTAAGCACTACAAGAGACAGGAAGTTTTGGAGAGCCATGATCTCCAACACTCTTAAGGGACATGGTACATAATAATAATAGTAGAAGAAGAAGCATCTTCTGTAAAATTGTTAACACAACAAGGATCTGGAGAGATAACAAAAGGACAAAAAATATTAAAAGGATAACAATTATTGTTCAAAGGACGGGAAATTGTGGAGATCCATGATCGCCAACATCCTGAAGTGACACGGCATATATAAAAAGAAGAAGCTTGTGTAAACGGTTGGCAGAACAGGGTTTAGGAGAGATAACAGAAAGACAAAATTTATTAACAGCTACAAGAGACAGGAACTGATATAAAAAAAAAGTGTCTATATTCTGTTAACTGAAAATGCATTGCAATGGAATTTACTGCAAAATGAATTACAAATGATTATACTGGGAAAGTGCAATACAAATGATTCTACTGAGGAAATGCAATGCAAATGATTCTACTGAGGAAATGCATTGCAAATGATTCTACTGAGGAAATGCATTGCAAATGATGATCCTACTAAGGAAATGCATTGCAAATGATATATGTAAATTTCTATATATTAGAAAAATGACAGGCAAATAAATCACAAATCTGAGCAGATCTTCTATTATCACAATGTGGGATAATTAGTAATAAAAATAAGAACAAAAATATAAGGAGAATGAATGAAATTGGTTAATCCCAGACATGACTTACTAAAAAAAAAAATAAATAAATTATATATATATATATATATATATATATATATTTAAAATTCTGGCAACTTCAGTGTTTACTATGTATAATTGTAACTGATGCTTGCATTTTAATATCTGCCCTTCCCCTTCATGAACATATATAATTCCATCAACAAACACATTAGTCTGATGAAGTTCTTCCAGAGGACGAAATGTGTTACTCAGAATTTTGCTTTGTCATTCTAATGTGATATATCAAAATACTTTTTTTGATATTTTCCCATCAACAAGAAAACTATGTTCACCAAATACAAGGCCCAAGAGCTACTCAAGGCAGAGGGTTACTGTGTAGTGTTGTATGAGCATGAGTAAAGGCAAGAAGTAATGTTCATGAGGTTATGTAGGATAAAACAGAAAAAATAAAATCAAGTGATGAAGAAAACAGTCTAAAATGAAAAGATAAAAAAAAAAAACGTTCTGATTTCGAGGAGAAGAATAATTCTGAAATCCAAACCAAACTGAAGAGGGAGGAGTGTTGTTAGGGTATTTCTTCCCAAGACACACCTTTCTGCTGATATAGCTGCAGCACCTTTTGCTTTTTCTATGTCCCTAATGGGTTATGTTATAGTATTTACAATCATAGTCAATCTTATTTCAAAATCATCAGAGTCATAAACTCTTGAATCGCATTTAATATAGATATCTGGTGGTGTGATTTCAAATACATGCAACACAATCTTCCTATTCACCTCATTTTTCAGTTGCCCTTGACCTATACAAAGCTAAACTTAGTAAATAAAATTAGGCCTGGATATGAATTTATCTATTATCCATTGTCCTTACAAATTTCCTTGACACTGGTGGTGGTGGGGCTTCAGTGGAATGGGTTTTATATCCAGTGTGGAGGAGGACAATTGACATGGTGTTGACAGTTGGCACAAGATTCCATTTCTGTATAAATGGCTTGGCTTCCTGTGAGCAAAGTACAATGCCCTTGGGGAACCGTAAGATGACAGAAAACGGAAGGCACCATTGGATATTTGAGCTCTTAACAGTGGATTTAAGCAGAGGATTTAGAATATATTGATTATTAAGGATAAGAAAATGCTTTATGCTTTCACAAGGTCCATTTCTGATGGGGTAGGAGTCAGTGTAGAGGGATAGAATTGATAAGATAAAGTGGATATCATGACAAAGAAGAGGCATTATTGTGTATGCATTGTCATGCACATTTACTTAATGTAAAAAATTCAGATCGGACATTTTGAAAAATGCATATAAATCCATTTTTCATTTCAAAGACTGTATCCATATTTTATCAACAAACAAAAAGGTAATCTGCTAACACACACACAAATATATATATATATATATATATATATATATATATATATATACAGAGAGAGAGAGAGAGAGAGTTTAAAATTTTCTATATAGAATATGGGTAAATAATGTGGACATAAAAATCAACATTGCATTGTCATTGGCAATTTGAACGTAATCATAAGTAGTGAAAATGCACCATTGATTTCTATATGCATACTGTTTATTACTATAAATGTATGTCTAGTCTGGTTTGTTTTATGGCATATCAACCTCAATGAGTTTTTTAATGCTGACAAGATTTTTATTGCTGGTAATATTTTTTTTCCCTTCAAAAATGTATTACTGGTAATAATTTTTGTCCTTCAAAAATTAATTGCTAGTAATAATTTTTTTGCAAAAAGTATTGTTTGTATTAAAACCTATTTTTACACTTTCATATAGTATTTTGACTTCAATTTGGTTGGTGGGGGTCAACTATTTACCTATAGCTGGGACCCTAACAGATGCTACCACCCTGAGTCAGAGTGTATCTGGGAACACCAGCAATTAAGAGGTGGTTCCATGCTCCTCAAAACCTCCTGATCATAGGCCTTGTTGTTGGATGTAGTTTATTGTCTTACCCAGGATGCAGATATAGTTTATCATCATACCCAGGATGCTATAAATATATGTAGGTACACTAAAATAACAAATTAATATGTAGTTGATAAAATAAAAAGAATAATCTGCAATGTTATTAATCCTGACTTGGCATCTTGATCACAGTCACTTTCCCACCACGATACTGTTGCTTCCCTGTGCCTTTTCTATAAATGCTTTCACGGTAATTGCTCAGATGAACATTCCTCTTTGATAGATAAACTTTATGAATTTAAGTGTAGTACTAGATTGCAGCTAGGTTTCATCAGTTTACAATTGAAATGTTGAGGTGTAAACATAAGTTCTGTGTTAATAGTTTTTTTTCTTGTACATCTCACATTTGAGTTAACTTTCATCTTCAAAAATTTAAATGCAATATCACTCTGCCTTCTTAATAGAGGTTCTCTTACGGTTCTCTGTGTCTCCTTAATAATATTTTATTTTTCTCATATTGTCTCACTCAGAAAATCCTTTTGTTTTAGTGGCTTTATTGCCTTGCTCGGAGTCAAATGATTAAAAAAAACAAAAAACATTCCTGTTTGTATGCAAACAGTGAAAACAACATATACATATATATATATATATATATATATATATATATATACACACACACACAATGAAAAATAGACCTTAATTTAGTGTGTGTGTATATATATATATATAGGAATAAAAATAATAGGAAAACAATGTGGACTTTATCAAAGCAAAATACGAAATGAATTTAATTGAACAAGGTAACTAATAAAAACAAAAAACAGAATGTTCCTAGCAACTGGAATGTAGAGAATGCTATAATTTCATCATTTTATATATATATATATATATATATATTTAATAAGATAAAGAACAAGTATGAAACAGATCTTAATCTAACATGTTTCGTTTTATTAAAGCTTCATCAGAGATCAACACAGAAATGATAAAGAGCAAAGAGCTGTGTTTGCCTATTTTTTTTTTATTAATCTGCGTCTCTTTGCTTTTTACCATTTTATCATTTCTATCTCGATCTCTGAAGAAACTTTAATAAAGTGAAAAATGTTAGATTAAGATCTATTTCCTACTTGTTCTTTATCCTATCATTTTGTTGGATTCCTGTCCATACTCACTCATATATATATATATATATATATATTATTGGTGCATCACTGAGCTGTTAGAACATTTACTTTTCAAACATCAAACATGGGTTCAAATCTTACCACAGTCAATTTATCAAGAATGTGGTTTCTTGATGTTATTGGTCTGGACAGGTAATCCCAGTATACATCACCTTTGGAAAACGACCCAGAATCAACCCAGGGGTTGACCCAATACTTATGAATTAAATTGGGTAGATGGAACCATTTGGAAGCTCTCCATGGTTGTAGTAGCATGAAGTCCCAAGTCATCGTGACTGAGCATCTGAGCATACTGGCCTTGGTTATACTGTTGATAATGCCAGAGAAAGTTTAACTCATATTCGCTCAGTATAGTTGCAGATGCCTGCTCAGGAACATTTGTGTTTGTTCAAAGCTAACACAGCTCACCTGTGGTTTATACCTCAACTATACTGAGCAGACCTTAGACAGTGTTTGGAAGAAAGCCAATCATCTGATAGGATTAACAGTTTGAATAAAGCCAATACAATCAAACCTTCAGTCATAATGACTTGTTGCTTCATATATACTAATAACTACCAACAAACAATTCCTTAGTTTTTCAGGCTCTTTCCAAATGTGCCACACTCTAGAATAACCTAGCATCAAGAAGACATCTTCCTAACAAATTGATCATGGTGAGATTCTGAAAGCAAACCTCGTAATCCATGCAAGCATATTATTATATATGACAGTATGGACATAAGAATCAACACTGCCTGGTTACTGCCAGTTTTATGCTTCAGTGAAATCATCAGATATCAGACACATACATAAGTATATAGACTGACTGTGGCTTGCATGAAAATCATTGATTTTTGCAGAGCGCTCCGTGAATACAGCCGGATGTTAAAGTTAAGCATTATGAAAGAAAATCTATTCATCTATGAATCCACTGTGTCATCAGTTGGCACAAGTTACTTAGCAAAATGATGAGATGAATGAAATGCCAATTTGAATAAACCAGTCCTCAGACTGAAACCCTATTCAGTCCGTGCAGTCTTTAGCTTATTCATTCTCAACTCAAAATCTAATGTCATTTAATCAGATCGTCTTTACTCACTATTTTATTCAGAGTAACTTTACTTAGAATTTCCAGAATTTTCTATCTTGATGCACACACACATGCTAAAACTATATAAGAAGCAAAATGCTGTCAAATAAACAGATCAAACAATTTCCCCAAAGGCAACAAAGCTATTAATGCGATCAATTTAATATTTTCCCAAGGCACCTGCATTGGAAGTCATTTAAATTCTATCATGAGTAACTAAAAACATTAAAAATCTATTATATATCTATATAACGTGAAACGGATTTGTGCTGTACTCTTACTTAACAATTATATAGACAAATAAAATATGTATTACTTTACGCATTTTTCAAATAAAGATATATTAAAACATCTATCCTAGTGTATTCCCCTCTCCATCTCTCTCTCTCTATATATATATATATATATATATATATATGACAATTGAGTATTTGGGCAGCAGTCCCTCTTTTATACATGTTTTGATAAAGACTACTGACAAGGTATTGTGATTAACACATAAACGCACATATACATATATATTTAATTTTTATTGTGTTCGTACAAGTGTTTTCATTTCTGGACACAATGTGTAAAAAACGTCCAAAATTTCTGCATATCCAAGCTCTTTTGGCAACATACAATGTATTTTCCTCCTTAGAGAATTATGTTCTTTTTTATTTAGCGTGGCATAGTGAAAACAGCATCAGAGTCTCTTGTCTTCATAGATGTAGGCTTTTAGATCACTTGATATTCTTTAAGGAGAAAATACATTGAAAACTTAACATTATTGCCAACTATAAACACAAGCCTAAAACATTACATCACCATATTACTTTGAATCCAGTTTTAAAAGAATCTAACTTATATTCATCTAATGCAAAGAATACATGCTTCAAAAGAACAACCCTAAAAAAGAATAATGTGATAGCCTGCTGTGCTTGCTTGACCATACAGAATTGAAGTTATTGGAACTCCTACTAGAAAGGAACACATACAGTTATGAACATAAATACAGAATTATCTATGGTTTTAATGCACATAAATGACTGACCAATGAGAACTGATCCAAATCTATGCACACACACACACACATTATGCAAATGTCAGTGTGTCACTGATTCAACTTTACTCCTAAAAGCTGCAGCCTGACATATCATAAGATTTTGGAATCAGGGCAACTCAGTGAGTGAATTAAAAATATTCTGGGCCAGATACAGACCTGCAATCCTGAAATCAGAGATTCCTAAGCATTCATTACTGCTATGGTTTTCGAATTCCGCCATATTAAAGGGAGACAACTCTCTTACTTTCAATAGCTCATGTCCAAATGTAAAAAAAAAAAAATCACGCACACACACACACATATATATATATATATATATATATATATATATACACACATTATATATATATATATATATATATATATATATATATATATATATATATATACACACATTATATATATATATATATATATATATACATACATACATATATATATATATATATACACATATATATATATATATACATACATCTATATATATATATATATACACATCTATATATATATATATACACACACATATATATATATATATACATACACACATCTATATATATATATATATATATACACTATATATATATATATATATATATATACACATATATATATATATATATATATATACACACACATATATATATATATATATATATATATATACACACACATATATATATATATATATATACACATATATATATATATATATATA